TGGGTGAAGAAGTTCCCCTGGAGAAAGGGTATGCTGCCCACTCCAGTCTTCTTTAGCTTCGCTGGTAGCTCGAACTGTGAAGAATCTGCCTGCACCGTGGGTGACCTGGGTTCAACCCCTGGGTTGAGAAGATCCCCTGGAGGGCATGGCAGCCCGCTCCAGTATTCTTGCCTGGAGAATCCCCATGGACAGAGGAGCCTGGCAGGCTACAGCCCATGGGGTCACAAAGAGTCAGATACAACTAAACACAGCACACTTGAGAGTTTTGACATATTTTGGTCTTGCTTACTTCTTGATTTCCAGATAGCCCAGGTAGTATTTCATGTAAAATACAAGTTACTTTCGGTGGGATAAGAGAGACCACAAAGGCTGAACCTGAAGTTAATTTCAAATTAACTGACCTCTCCATTTATGACTGGAAACCTTAGGAATTTCATCTTAAGGTGAAAATTGTGTTTACCATGAACTTTTTCTTTTGGCTGAGCAGCAGCTTGCGGAATCTTAGTTCCCTAACTAGGGATTGAACGCACAGCAGTGAAAGGATAGTCCCAACCACTGGACTGCCAGGGAATTCCTTACAAACTCATTTTAACTGCCATACATTAACAGTCAAGGCCCACATTCTTTCAGTACTTTATCTCTACCATATTTTTTGACAATCAAGTTGGGTGATTTTCAAAAATAATCCAATCAATTCCCTGGCTTCGGAGTTTTTTAACCTCTTCAATTCCAATTAGTTTTGAACTGACATTTCACTTAAGTATCCTACTCAAGTTGTACATCGAAAATCTTAATATTCTCTTGTCAGATCACATTTTTTTTTAATGCAAGTAATACATGAACAAATTGTGAGCACACAGGATCAGGATAAATCCTTTCATCACTACCCAAGCCTCATTCCCAGAAATCGCGATTAAAAATATTTCGCTTCTATGCATTCACTTGCATTCCACCCCATGTCCATAAAACATACATTCTTGTCTTTTAAAAAACTTCAGTGGAGGCACACTACAAAAAAAATAAGGTTTCTGATCTTTGTTTTTGAGAACTTTGTGTCAGTTTACATTTTTGATTGTAGCTACATCTTATGCCACAGAAATGTGTAATAACTTACTCCATTAATGGTTATTTGGATTGTTTTAAATGGCTATTATATGCAATATTGAAAAAAGGGAATCTTACAAATATGAGCACACCATCTATTGCTTCTTTAAAATTACTAGAAATAAAATGTTGGTTTAGTTATGTTCAATTTAAAAATTTTTATTTTTGGCTGTGCCACAGGGCTTGTGGGATGGGGGAATCTTAGTTCCTCAACCAGAGTGAACCCAGGTGCCTGGCAGTGGGAACACAGGATCCCAACCACTAGACCAGCAGGGACTACCTGACCTGTGTTTTTTTAGATCTCTTCTTTGTTCCTTCTAGACTTTGTATCATTCTTGGGAGAATTTCCCATCCTTAATAAGAACTTAACTCTTTTTGCAGTGAGTGGGCCAGGAACCACCAGCACCAGAATCATCTAAATCTACACTATCTACTATGCTCATCACTAACTATATGGGATTAAATGTTAAAACTAAGTAATTCAGTTTTTAGTCACACTAGCCACATTCCAGATTTCCAATAGTTCTATGCAGCTGGCACTCACTGTATCAGACAACGGAGAGACACAGAACAATTTCATCAGTCACACTGGATGGGGTTGCCATCTCAGCAGGACCAACTGATTCAGAATCTGCATTTTAGATCTAAAGGAAGTTGTCAAATTTCAGCACACATCAGAATCAGCTAGCGGTCCTAAGACCCTACAGTTTAGTTTCTGATTTGGAATATTTGGGGGCCCAGGATTTATATATCTAACAAGTTCCTAGGTGAGACTGATGCTGGCAGCCAGGACACTTGAAAAAACCAAAACTACATCTCTACTGTGGCTGCACCTTGTGGCATGTGGCATCTTAGTTCCTTGACCAGGCAATCAATCCGCTGCCCTGTGTACCGAGAGCATGGAGTTTTAGCCACTGGACCAAGGAAGTCCTGGGATCACACATGTCAAGTATCAGTTAAATTGCACATTTCTGCACCCCACATGCACCTGCTATCCTAAGGCATATCTTCCGGTTGGGACTTCTGAATCCACATTGACCCAAGGTGGTTCTATAGCTACAGGGCTACAGGTACAGGACAGGAACTAGAGCTTTGAGATGAAACTTGGGAGAATACAAAAACAATGGCTGAGGGAGGTAAACTGAAGGGGCTGTTAACTGTACTGGGAACAGCTTCGCAGCAACCCCTCCTAAACCTGTGACTCCCGAGATATGGGAATGGGTAAGAGAAGTCAGGGTCACTGGACTTGAGGCAAAGACATCTGAGCTAGAGGCCCGGATAGGTTCTTCACATAAACAATGAAATTATCCAGCCTGACACTAAAAGCTGCGAGCCAACTGATGTTTCGTCTTCACTTTAGCAGGTACTGTCCTCAGGGTGGGATATTTAGTGGTGACATACATCCTTCACTGTTCCTGAAGCAATTACCAACTATCATCAAGTATGGAAGCCTACCAGAGTAAAATAATTTGGGAGTTAAGAGTAGGCCTTACACAAACCTGTCTACCCTCTCCTCCCCAGCCTTTATGTTCTCAAGGGTAGTACAATACTGGGAGAGCGAAGGGGAACTGCAGCTGATATTCATATACAGGTGAAGTTCATCATCACACATCAAAAGAACTGCTAAACAAAAACAACCTGCGCAGAACTGAACAGGTAAATAAAACCTAAGCTGTACCAACTAATCACTTTCCTTTCTTCCTTGAAGGTAACTTTACAGTTCAGGAAGTTGAATATAGCCATCTTTATCACGTCACAATAGCCAAATAGTAATAAAGAGATGCTATCTCCCTTATTCAAGCTTAAATTCACCAAATGATCCTCTCCCCAGTGACTCTCTAAGGCAAAAGTAGCCACGGTTCAGATTTGCAATGCAAGGCCAAATAGTCCTCCTTGTTTTGGCCTGTCAATTCACCTCTTGGCATGCCGTCCTCTTAACTTAAAAAGGGGTCAGATACCATTGAGAGGTCTTTGTACAGCAGTAAGTATTACTGAAATCCCGCTGTGGTATCTGAGCACAAAGCAGGTTTGAAAAAAATCTTAACAGGATGAAATTAGAAATCCATCATGCTGTATCTTAGTGCTGTAGCCCAGTGGCTGGCATTAAGCCAATAAATCATTAATGACACTCTAACTTCCAGAACATACAAAAATAATTCCTTTTAGAGAATGAAACTAGAGTATTTCTTTGGGAAAACTTAAAGTTTTTCTATGAAGCAGTACATTATCAATCATACTGATACCTCTAGCATGCTCCAGAGAAAGGTGACCAAGTTTAATATAATTTTCTAGAAGTACAGAAGTCCAAACATACCTAATATGGAAAAAAACTAGGGCTTTGAAGAAAAATTGTATTCCCTGAGAACCAATGCAACAAGAGAGTTGATTGCCCAGTCTCTTAAGTAGTAAGAGATTCTATTTGTACCATTTCAAGAAAATGGCTTTGAGTATCATTTAGAACAATTATATACTTAACAAGGAAAGAATACTCTATCCATACCTATTACTACATTGGCCATTTCCCAAGTTTCTCTTCACTATTTGTCCTGAGGCTTAGCTTGTGATGTGTGCTCCCTGAGTATACAATTACCTGAAGGATTAATCTCTGTATCCCCTGCCCCCAGCACTTTAACACTGCCTAACAAAGGACCTTAGTGTCTGACATGAGAAAGTACTGAAATATGAAGCATTTCTATGCTATGACAAATACACAGAAGCTGGAAGGAATAAAAAGTGCCAAAATGCAAAAGCTCAAAGATTTAGAGGAGGACAACACATTTAGTTTTATTTCAATCAAATCACAACACTTTCTTTTCCAACTGTTGCAAAGTGCATCTACAATGTTCTATTACAGATCCACTTTTAAAAGGTTTTCTGTGACATTACAGCAAGCCTTTGTTTCCCCAAACAGAGGAATATTCCCAAATTCTTCCTCAAGTAAAAATAAAAACTCCATTCCAGTAAATGGCAATACATGAAATTACAGTAAACCAGACACTTGAAAGGATAGCCAAGAAGTCTTCCAACAGTTTATTAGAAAGAATGTAGACATTAAAAAAAAAAATCTCACTGTCATGAACATAAATTGAGGTTTTCAGCTGAGATACAAGCTGAATAAAAAAAAAAAAAAGGAATAAAAAAATCCAATAGTGTATTAACATTTTTTTCCACTCATTTGCCATACTGACAGTGCAAATACAAATTTGGTCTAAACGTACAGACTCTCAAGCAACAATGTACAGCCTTTCTTCGTCCTCCATGCTAAGAGATGTAAAAGTTTAAGGGTCAAACAATACCAAATGTACAGGCTTCAAAACCATCTAAGTTAGGGCATTCACTAGTTTTAGCTAAGATACATCTGAACACTGACAAGTGATCACTTACATACAATAATGTGAAGTAAATTTTTTGAAAAATAAAACTTTAGTGGAACAATCCTGAAGGAAATGCCAGAGGAACATGTTACGTTTAAAGTATCAACCAATTGTTTCAGCCACTTTGAGTCCATGTTCTTAAAATCTAAAATTTAGTTCCTTTCCCTAAGCCAGAGAGCTTCCTATCATGTCAGTATCTATGTTATGAGTAAAGGAGACTTAGGTGAGATTTTTATTTATCACAACTGCTGTGTCAATTGCCTAGGACCTCAACAGCATCATGGAAATCTGGGAAATGTTCATGCACAAGGTTATTGCCTTAGCTGACTTAAAACTGCCCCATACAATGGTACATGTCAACCCTTAGTGAAGCCTTTAAAAAAACAAACAGGTTGAAAAATGGGTTAAAGGAGGCAAATACAGCATCTGCCTTTAGAGCTATCAACTCAGGAATTCTCTCAATTATGAAATCTTGCAGAGAAGTTATTTTTCTTTCTCAAAATCCAGCGATGACAACATTCCTTACTCCAGATCTGGCATTTCTGAAAAGATTTTTAAAAGATTAGTATAAATTACAAGGATAATAACCCAACTACTTTGAATCATTCAAATTTTTGCTTCAGCTATTTGTTAGAGGCCATAAAGAAATAATCACATATCTTCTTAGAATTTTAAACAAGTAACTTCTCTTATTTTGAGAGTTTGGTCTTTGATGTGAAATATCTGTGTAGATTTACTTTTACAAAGATACTTACTTTCATCATCACTGTCTTGTGAATCCTGCAGAAAGAGAAATAAAAAATTTTAACCAAATTGATCAAACATTCATCCACTAACTGAACAGTTTGCACCCCCCCCCCTTTTTTTACAGTCTGTCTTAAAGTTGAAGCACTGTCCTTTTGACCAAAGTAGCAGAGACATGTGGTTACATTAATCCCATGAACTTATCAATGGACTGAAAAACAGGTTTATTTAAGATGAACAGTATGTACAGCTGAGCATAATATATCTTCCTATAAGATGTGTGCCTTTTGGAGGGAATAGAGCCCATCCTTTGAATTCCTTCCTACTAATAGAAATGAATTTTTCTATAAAATGGTTTCTTTTCTCTCTTGGCATTTAATGCAAGAGAAAAATGGCTCAACATGAAGACCACTGGAATGACAGAAGACAATGAACTCTAATCCTAACTGTTGAACTATTTAAATAAATATCTTCCAAACTAGATAGAAAAGCTTTCTTAAAAATGTTAACAGGATGCCAGGTGGGAAAATGTTGAGAAAAGTGGACCAGTATATCCTGACAGATTCACAACATCCATCTGTTTACTATATGTCTCTCTGACCATCCTGCTGTTAAAACCTGTTTAACTTTGTCAAAATATTCCCTAAACTATTAATTGAATAAGGCATATGTCTCTGTACAATAATTATTCTGAACTATAAATCTGGTGGTCCCTTTAAGAATGATCCATGGGACACCTGTTTCCTAGTAGGTATCCATCCCTCTAAAATGAACACTTCTAAAGAATTGGTTTTCCCTGTAATATTTCTTAGGAAAAAACCAACCAATGTAAAAAAAAAAGCAGTCTCAATTTAAATAAAACAACCTATAAATACATTGTTTCTTACTATTTTATTAAACATAGAAAAGAATTTATAGACTTACATCATCTGCTCCATCTACTTCTGGTAAATCTACATCCTCATCACCACCCATGTTGTTCATCATCTATTCGAAGTGTAAAAATTAGTTTTAAAAATGATGTTAAATTAAGTCCTAATTATTAGGTTGCACACTCCAGAATAAACCTTAGCTCTGCCGTAGATTTCCACCAATTAAAAAAAAATTCAATTATAGGTAAGTTAGCTTCTTTCCTTTCTGGAAAAGGTAGATTTTACGTAATTACATAAAATCCTGAAATTTTGTAGGATGTTAAGAGTAAGTTCTCACTGAAGAAAAGTGAAGTTTTTAAAATTCATCCAACAAGATACGTATGTATGATGCAGAAGTTAAATACGACAATCCTGAATAGCAGGTACCTCTGGTGATTAATAACGGGATTATTTTTAGTTGTAAAGTTTTGTATGTTCAACTAAGTGGCGTGTGTACTATGGTATTCTCATTGTAGTTTTAAATATTGTGAAGAATCAATGGTAACTTAAAAGTCCTTTGGGCTGATTAGTTTGTATAAAAGGCCTGAATACCGAATTCAGCTCAACACCAGTAACTAAGTTAAAAACAGAAAATAAACATAATCCTTGAAAGAAAACATAGGCTGTGTAAAATACTCTTATATACTTAAACTGGGACCAACAGAGTATAAGAACTGCAATATATTATGTAAAGAGGTATAAACAAGCAGACTAAATAATTCATATGGAACTTCAAAAACACATGCCTACCTGAAGTTCAGAGTTAGAAGGGGTCTTAAAAAGATACTGACTTAAAAACCTTTCAGTATAAAAATCCTGAGCATCTACTCTCAAATAATATGAGTAACTAGTGAAGAGTTTTCCTACATTTGAAGACACTAAATACTGGTTAAGTTTCTTTGAGCAGGAAAAATACTCAGGAGGCTCCAAGTGGAATACTAGATGTCAAGATACGATGGCAATAGATGTAGAACTGAATACATTTAAGAGTTTACTTAGGAGATAAAAAACAGACAACAAAGAGCAGTTAAATGTCATACTGGATAGAGAGAATCAGAGAACGAGAACAGTGTTAAAAGTTGTCACATGCACATCTGGGTAAATGGTGGCACCAATTACTACAGGTAAGGAGTAGCACAGTTTAGAATGAGTGTCATTTCTCCCTTCTCTCTTTTGAAATCAAGGTGCCAGAGCCATGTGAGGGGTGTTAAATAAGCAACTGCGTACATGAAAATGGGTACTTACTTTTTAACTCTTTGTTTTCAAAGAAACAGTAAAAACCAGCTGTGCTGTACTGACCATATAGTTTATTTTTTTCCTTACACATCAAATTTAGAACTTGACACTAATTTTTAAAAACTCATAAAAGAACGTTAAATGACCACTGTTAAAATCTCACTTGATTTTCTGCAAAAGTCTTGAAAGTAAAGTAATGCAGGTCCTTATATATCACTAGGCCTTTAAAACCAAATTACACTGACGAGAAAGAAGTATCCTGAGAGGGAGGTGGAAGAATGCATTTAAAAGAACTTACCTCAGAGAAACGATCAAAATTAGACATGTCTTCATCGGAATCATCTTCCCAGTCTTTCCAATTATTAAAGTCCACACTAAGCCAATTAAGCTATAGAGCAATACAAATATCACCCTATGATTAGATTATTGAATTGTGGCATTCATACTCACTAGCAAGGAATGGAATCAACAGAAAAGTAGAATAGACTAGAAAAATCAGTCAAGTCAAATGCAATATATATTAGTAAATAGTTTCATGAAGTCTCAGTTGTCAGAAACCTTTTTTTTTAAAATTAACAAATAGAAACTACTCAAATTCATATAATCAATTAACTATTTTTTAAATGCCACCATGATACACTCTGATCTGATATTTCAGTAATTTATACTTTTAAGTCTTTACTTTGGCCACCTCATGCAGAGCTGACTCACTGGAAAAGACCCTGATGCTGGGAGGGACTGGGGGCAGGAGGAGAAGGGGACGACGGAGGAGGAGATGGCTGGGTGGCATCACCGACTCGATGAACTTGAGTTTGAGTAAACTCCAGGAGTTGGTGATGGACAGGGAGGCCTGGTGTGCTGCAATTCACAGGGTCGGACACGGCTGAGCAACTGAACTGAACTGAACTTGAATGCAGAAGAGCCTGCATCAACTAGTGACTGATCTTATTCTGACTGTACTCGGTATTAACAATAATAAATCTCAAAGTAGAGAAAAGCATATGGAACACAGGGCCTTAATAGTATTATGCCATGAAATAAAACACACTATAATTCTTCATACCATTTTTTTTATACCAGTTTTTAAAAATACCAATTCCAGGTGTATAACATTGTCACTCGACATCTGAATACAACTATAAAGTGATTACCTTCCAAGTCCACTTACTGTCTGTCACTATAAAATTGACTCCTTGTACCCCTTTATGTCGGAGAAGGTAATGGCAACCCACTCCAGTACTCTCGCCTGGAAAATCCCATGGATGGAGCAGCCTGGTAGGCTGCAGTCCATGGGGTCACTCAGAGTCAGCAGCACCCCTTTATCTACCCCTTCAACTCCCCCTCCCCTGCTGGTAATCATCAATCTCTTCTCTGTATGTGTCTTTTAGTTTTGTTTGTTGTATTTTTTATTTTATTTTGTATTTTTTAAAATTAGGTTTGTCTTTTTCCTTCTGACTCATTTTATTTATTACCCTCAAGGTCCATCCATGTTGCTGCAAATGGCAAGATTTCATTCTTTCAAAATGGTTAACTACTAATCCACTGAACAGACACACACACACCGGTTTACCATTCATTCATCAATGGATACTTTGGCTGCATCCATATTTTGGTTATTTTAAATAATCCTGCAATGAATAGAGATGGCATACATCTTTTTCCAACTAGTGTTTTTATATTCTTCAGATAAATACCCAGAAATGGAATGCCTAGATCATATGGTAGTTCTACGCTTAATTTTTTGAGAATCTCCATACTATTTTCCATAGTGGCTACACCAGTTTATAATCCCAACAACAGCATTTCTTATTGGCCTTCTTGACATTAGCCATTCTAACAGTTAGAAGATGATAACTCATTGTGGTTTTAATTTGCATTTCTCTAATAATTAGTGATGAACCTGGGGCAAGGCAATGAAAGCCTGGAATCCTCATCACTAGGTCACCAGGGAACTGCTCTACCTGTTCCATTGTTGTTTAATTTTTATTTTATATTGGAGTATGGCAGATGTCTGCCCCTTTTTTAATTGGATTTTTGTTGCCGAGCTGTAGGAGTTCCTCATATACATTAGATATTAACCTTTTATCAGGTACATGATTTGTAAATATATTTTCCCATTAAGTAGGTTGTCTTTTTATCTTATTGACGGTTTTCTTTGCTGGGCAGCAACTTCTGAGTTTGATGTCAATGTATCTTTAATTATTTAAAAATACCTAACTTTCAAAAAAAGGAAAAGAAACCTACCTTTGCCCTTTCTTTTGTTAACCTTGGCCATGACTGGCCAGATTCTCCTTTTCGTAAACAACATAAAATCGATCTGTCCGTTCTTTTATGCTTGGAATCCTAAAACAAAATAAGTGTTATTACACTGTTATAACTCTCTAGTATCAATATAGGATACAAAGTTGCTTGTTGTCATTTCTTTCCTCCTCATTTCTTTCCCTAAACCCTGAAACATCCCCTAGGCTACTGAAGATTTCCTAAGCTATCCAATAGTAAAAATATAATTTTTTCCCTCCCCTAAACAAGGTGAATAGCATAGAAAATTTGAATTAGTAAACATGGTATAAGCATAGAACATACTTAGCTACATCTATGCTTAAATAAGACAAGCATCGAGAGTACTGTCCTTACATTAACTACACTGCAATTTTAAAAAGGTTAAAAAAGACAGTACTGTCCTGAGTCCAAACATTGATGACAACAAAAATAATATGCAGAGTAGTAGTTACAAGATGGAAAACAATGCAAACCATATAATTATATTTAGCCTCTGAACTGTTAAGAATTAGTATTTATCTCTAAAATGAGTATTTAAATTATGTCCATTTCCTCACAATTTAAATCGGGATTAAAGTTTCAAAACTACTTACATTTGGATCAATACAGTGAAAAAGATCAATTTCATTTAAATGTTTAAAATTATCACTTCCTCCAAGACAACTGTACAAAAAAAAAAAGGGAAAATGAAGTCTCTTCAAAGAGGTAAAAATTAGTAATAACTTCAGAGAAAACACAAAACAAGCAAATGAAAGTTATTCAAGCTGTCTGAAACAAGTTTTTCACCCAACGATGTAAAAATTAAAAATGGTAATTTACCTGAATGTAAGTTTTGATTTTTCAAAATTTACATTAACATCTTTACTGTCTTCAACACAAAATTCAATGAAGACATAGTCCCTCCGATCGTACCACTTTGCAGAAGCAGGTTGCCTATAATGAGACAAAATTAGACAAAGTTAAGCTGAAATTCACTAAGTGGGTATTTACATAACCTCCAAAATTTAGCATGAAAGTAACATACTTCTCCATCAGAGCATTATTTTGAGGCAGTATATTACAATTTCAAATGCGAACTATTAATATGCTTTTTCCCTAACAGCTGCATTTCAGGTTAAAATGCAATGATACTGTTTCATCATAGGAAGGGATTTTAAAACATGAGACCAAAATGTTCAATGGAGTTAACAACCATTTAGGTAGCCCTGTTAAAATTTGTGTGCTACTTCTTTACAGTCCTGCTCTTAAAAATTCAACTTCACAGCATTAAAAAGAACTAACTCATTGTCATCTGAAATACAGTATGCAACATTTCTACTTACAATTCTAGAAACTGTGAGGGGAATTTTTTAAAAGTATGAGAAATGACAGTATTTCAAAGTTCTGCCTAAAGCTCTACTCATCCATTAAAAACTATGTTTTAGAATATAGCTAAAAATCTGCTAGAAACAACTACAGTCAAATATGGTTAATTAATAGGCAGTAAAGATTATAAGCGCTTCCCAGGTGGTGCTAGTGGTGAAGAATCCACCTGCCAATGCAGGAGATGCAAAAAGACGAGTTCGATCCCTGGGTAGGGACGATCCATTGAAACAGGAAATGACAACCCAATCTATATTCTTGCCTGGAAAATCCCATGGATAGAGGATCCTGGTGGGCTAGAGTCCATGGAGTCACAGAGAGTCAGCCAATACTGAGTGCACACACACACACAAGATTACATGTGGTAAATAAAATTTTTTTCTTTGTTATCTTCAAGGCCAAGACAGGTTACTTCAATAAATATTTACACACTCATAAAAACTGCAAGAATAATTCACACACACATACACACAGGCATGCACACACGAAGAAGAGGTAGATTAACAGCACTTGCCTCTAAAGCATGAGCCAGAAAAAGAAAAGAAAGGAAATAGAGCCATATCAATCTCAACTGTTCCAATTATTTTAAAAACCTTTTATTTTGCATTTTGGGTGCAATTACTTTTAAAAAATAAGTATGTGCCACTTTGATCACCTAAAAATCAAAGTTACAGGAATTATTTGTTTTTTAAACTTTTCTATAAACCCAAAACTTTTAAACAAATTAGTTATATGTTCAAACACTACTCACAAATCAACTCAACATAAAGGAATTGTTTGCTTCCGAAATTCCCAATCCTAAAGTGTAACCTTTTCAAGTTCTAAGAAGTTACAGCCACAGCTCATTAACATTCTTATACATGGTTAAACTTGTGAATGGTTAAACTAGTCACCACACTCTGGAAACACTGATATCAGATCTGAAATTAAAAAGTATAAATGGCGGGACTTCCCTGCTGGTCCACGGGCTGACTCCAAGCTCCCCATGCAGGAGATCAGGTTTAATTCCTGGTCAGGGAACTAGATTCCACAAGCCACAACTAAGATCCAGCACAGGTAAATAAATATTTAAAAAAATATATATAAACAGCAATTTCCAAAGCCTAAATACCAACAAACCAGCAAGAGTAACGGCTATTTCTTTAGGCATCTACTGGCAGACGGGGGTGGGATTTAAAAATATCTCTGAAAAATGGTAAAGTGTCTGCCTACAGTGCGGGAGACCTGGGTTCGATCCCTGGCTTGGGAAGATCCCCTGGAGAAGAAAATGGCAACCCACTCCAGTACTCTTGCCTGGAAAATCCCATGGATGGAGAATCCTGGTAGACCACAGTCCATGGAGTCGCAAACAGTTGGACACGACTAAGCGACTTCACTTCACTTTGAAAAAGAACCAAACTTCTGTGGACTAAAAAAAATAAAAATAACGACTTCTAATGTTACCATGTCAATGTACATAAAATAAATGATTTAGGAGTTTATTAATAGGTTCCAATAGGCCACACATTACCTCTAGTTCATTTTCTTGCCAAAACAGCTTTCTCAATATGTGGTAACATGTTTGGCCTTTTCTATGCAGCTTGTGGGATCCTCATTTCCCAACCAGAGAGCAAACGGGTCTTCAACAATGAAGCACCAGAAGTCCTAATCCCTGGACTGAAAAAGAATTCCCCCCATGTCTGCCCTTTAATGGAAAATATTTAGTATTTGTTAACTTAACTCATTATTGACTAGGAAGTTTTTGCAAAAACACGAGTGGCTGGAAATTCGTTACATAAGTGAATATTTAAACATCCTGGTCAATAATGTTTGGGCAAGAAATGTTTGGGCTTCCCAGATGGCTCAGTGGTAACGAACCTGCCTGCCAATGCAGGAGATGCAGGTTTGATCCCAGGGCTAGGAAGATGCCCTGAATAGGGAATTGGCAACCCACTCTAGTATCCTTGCCTGGGAAATCCCATGGACAAAGCCTGGCAGGCTACAGTCCATGGTGGTCCAAAGAGTCAAACATGACTTAGGAACTAAACAATAAAACAAATTAATATCTCTTTGGTCAATAATGTGTTGGAACTTCTCTAGTGATCCAGTGGTTGAGAATCTTCCTTTGAAGGGGACTTGGGTTGAACTCTGGCTGGAAAACTAAGATCCCATATGACTCAGGCAAACTAAACCCACTAACCACAATTACTGAGCCCGGGGTTCTGCAACGAATAAGCCTGCACACAGCAAAGAGGCCGCCACATGCTACAATGAAGACTCAGCACAGCCAAAACTTAAAGAAATAAAAATAAAAACAATGTTTTGCCCACTTGAGGCAAAAAAGAGTAGGGTGTCTCTTTCCTTGGCCAGTGACAATTTGAAAGAAGGACTGCAAATTGATTCAAGTACACTGACTATAAATACTCCACAAATTTATATTGATTAAAAAACTACCCACAATTCTAGATCACCAGAAGATGATATAGCTCCAGTTCTTTACAAAAAGGCAACTAAGAAGAACAGGCATCTATCCTCTTTTCCCTTTATGAACCTTTAAATTTTATTCATTTATATTTTATTTTTGGTTGCACTGGGTCTTCATTGTTGCTCTCAGGCTTTCTCTATTTGCAGGGTGAGTGGGAGCTACTCTCTAGGTGCAGTGCTCAGACTTTTCTTGTTGCAGAAGTGCAAGTTCTAGGGTGTGCAGGCCCCACTTCTGCTCCAGCGGAGCGCAGGCTCAGCAGTTGTGATGCACAAGCTCAGCTGCCCTGTGGCATGTGGACTCTTTCCAGATCAGACAGAGAACCTACGTCCTCCCCACTGGCAGAAAGATTCTTTACCACTGGACCACCAGGGCAGTCCCCTTTATGAATCTTTATTCATGATACCTGAATAGGACCATTTCACGAAGGAAGCTTCCTTACAAAACTTTAGCTCTGGTGTGGAATAAAATGTGAGAGGCAAAAACAAAAAATAAAACCACCATTTTTCAATCTTTATGCTGATGTGGCAATTATTCATCAATAAATAGGACCATGAGTAATGATTAGATGAATAGCAGATAAAGAATGTATGATCTCAGCATCACCAAAAGTGGGACAACCAGACATTTACCTCCTGATGTGATCAACATGATTCATTTCAATCTAGAACCTAACTGTTCTAGATTAAAAGAGACCTAAGAACTATCGAACAAGCACAATTTGTAAATCTGGTATGCATCTCGATTCAAAGTGAATATAAAAAAAAAGATTCCTGAAACGGTGGAAACCTGTCCTAGATATGGACAGAGTATTAGACAATGTGAAAACTGATAGTTTTGTTAGGTGTGAAAAGTACAGCTCTACAATAGGAAAAAAAAAATTTCCACTCAAGATTAAAGGGAGAAGTACACGAGGCTTGCTTTAAAATAATTAAGGGAAGGAAAGGAGAAAGCAACGTGGCAATGACCTGCTAAATGTTCAAACTGCTAAGGGTAGATGGATTTATTATTTTCACACTTTAGAAAAATGGTATTAAATGGTTTTGACATAGAATGGTTTGTTTCTTTAGAGCAACATAGTCTAATGGCGAAACTGTGTTATTCAAAAAGAAAAATCAATCTTTTCCATTCAATTAAGACACAAAACAACAAAGACTGCAATAGCTACAGCCCAGAAAATCTGTCTAGGACTTATTGTCTGTCATTTATTCTCAAGTTTTAGAAATTGCTGTTTTCATAAATAAGAATTGCCCATTGCCAAAGGTATCCAGATTGCAGATGCTCCTTATTTAAAGGAACATGTCTGGCATTTTCTTCAATATAAAATCCACTGGGGAATTCTGAAGAATTCATTGAAACAGTCGACCTTTCCTGTTTGGGGCGGTTGGGGGGGGACGGGGTAGTAACGCTAAAAATAATTACCCAGATTTTTTAAAAATGAATTTTTATTGGCCCAAGGTGACTTATTACAATGTTGAATTAACCTGATTAATGGGAAGATTCTTCTCCCAACATGTTTACCAATGGCTATTTCAATACTGGTAAACACGCTTTTTCCAGCCAATTTAACACCATAATCTGAAATAGTTAACAGTATCATTTACCATGTTAGAGTGTCTACCTTCTTAAAGTGGAGTTACGCATTAAGAACCTGGTGACTCTATCAAAAACCAAGTACATAAACTTTTCAGTTTCTGTTCATACCAAGGACAATGGAATCAGGGAGAATCTTTCTTCTTTCCTTGAATTCACATTCTGTAATCTAGATTTACATCATTGTTACAGCCTGAATTGTGTCCCAAATACCTATGCTTAAGTCCTAAACCCCCAAATTCCTACGTTAAGTCCTAACCCTCACGTGACTTTATTTGGAGACAGGGTCTGTAATGGAGAATGAGGTCTTAGAGTGGGCCATAATGCAGCTGAGTAATGTCCTTGTAAGCGGTCAGAATAGTTACAATGAAGTGACCTAAATGTCCACAGAGGACCTGAGGAAGAAAATGCGACAGGTATATACAATGAAATATTACTCTCAGCTGGAGAAAGGAATGAAATAACACCATTTGTAGGGACATGAATGAACCTAGAGTTTGTCATACAGAGGGAAGTCAGAAAGAGAATAATAAGTATAATATCGCTTATATATGAAGAAAAATGGTACAGAAAAACTCCTTTGCAACACAGAGAGAGTCAGATGTAGAGAACAAATTTATGGTTACCAAGCAGGGAAGGGAGGAGTGGGAAGAACGGAGATTAGGACTGACATGCACACGCCACTGGACACGACACCGCAGCTAGTGAGAACCCGCCGTGCAGCGCAGGGGGCTGTGGCGGCCGAAACAGAAAGGAAACCGAAACATGAGGACACGCGGGCATGCAACTGGCTCACTGCGCTGTGCAGCAAACAGAACACAGCACTGCAAAGCAACTATACCTCAATAAAGTCAATTTTACAAATAAAATTAATTTTTTACAAAAGATTAGGACCATTACAGAGGGAAGAGCCTGTGAAGATAGATGAAGGCCATTTGCAAGCCAAGTAGAGAGGCTTCAAAAGAAACCAACCTTTCTGACACCTTGATCTTGGACTAACCACCCTCCAGAATTGTAAGGAAAAAATTTATACTGTTTATATCACCCTTCCTCTAGTACTTTGCTATGGCAGCCCTAGCAAACTAATACAATCATTTACCAGACAATAAAAGCAAAATCAAATGATCCAAATCGGAGGTTGGCCCAGGAGCCATTTGGGGGTATATACACACATACGCATACATATATGAATCAATCACTGTTTTTGGTGGTCCTGGTCCTCACTGCTCTGCGCAGGCTCTCTCTGGCGGTGCTCTGCAGAGCATGACCTCAGGAGTAGTGGTGCACAGGCTCAGCTGCTCCACAGCACGTGGGATCTTCCTGGACCAGGGACTGAACCTATGTCCCCTGCATTGGCAGGCAGATTCTTATCCACTGTGCCACCAGGGAAGTCCTAACTTCTGTAGTATTTAAGAGTTGCAAAAATAAGAATGTGAGACAGGGATACTCGTGGCCTGTAAATCCTAATATTTACCAAGTGACCCCACTCTAAACCATCAGAAAATACAAGAGAGGAAATCCTACCCTTAACCTAAACAGTAACAGGCACACACATTCACTCACTTGAGAGGCAAACCAAGTGTTTATGAAATTCCTTTTTGTCATCTGTGACAATCATATCACATCACTCTTTTTTCCTATTAACCCAGAGAAAGGTTGATTTTAAATTCTAGCATCTAAATTATGCTGGATTTAGCTCTAGTCTTACACAAACCCTGGCAAAATCCCACACTACCATTCAAGCCTGTTAATCCATTTTTTAATACTAACATAGATGCAAAACCTTTCTCATCTCTCTATACATTATGTGAATGAGCACTAATTACACCACCACCCAAAATCCCTGAAGTGGGACATTCCAAGTCCTTCTGACAAGTATTTTCAAGTTCAATATTTAGGGCTATGTCATTCGAGCAATTAAAATTTGCATTACCTAAAATTCTCCTCTGTAGTTTTGACTAGAATTTCTTAGTTTGTCTCCGAATGACAGTGCAAACCACATTTGTTCCCAGTTTCTGCTTTTAACATACTAGAATCTGGTGCATCTTAACTATGGTTTGTAGGAAAAGCAGCACATCTCTCCTTATTTTAAATTGGAAAATGAGTCTACAAATGTTGTGTTGGTTTCCATCTTACAACGTGAATCAGCTCTAAGTATACGTATGTTGCTTAGCTGCTCAATCATGTCTGACTTTTTAGCAACCCCACGGACTGCAGCCCACCGGGCTCCTCTGTTCATGATTTTCCAGTCAAGAATATCAGAGTGGGTTGCCACTTCCTACCTCAGAAGATCTTCCAAACCTAGAGATCAAATTCACATCTCCTGCACTGCGGGCAAAGTCTTTACCATTGAGCTCTTAGGAAGGGCACGGCTCCCTTTAGAAAAACGGATGCGCCGCTGACTTCCCCCAGCTTCCCAACGCAGGGGTCATGGGTTCAATCCTTGGGCAGGATCCTGCATGCGGCACAGCTCGGCCAAAACACAAAACAAAAAATGTTCTACTTTTGTGAAAGTACTCAAGGGGCTGAAAAACGTGATACGAGCACAGGCCAAATGACAGCAATGTCTGTGATAAAGCAAATACTGTTCAATGTGTTAAGTTTTGGGACTTCCCTGGTGGTCCATGCTCCCAATGCAGGGGACCCAGGTTCAAACCCTGGTCAGGGAACTAGATACCACACACCTCAACTAAAGATCCCGCATGCCACAACTGAAAGATCCCGCATGCCACAACTAAAAGATCCTGCATGCCACAATGAAAACTGGAGACACGATGTGCCACAACTGAGACCTGGCACAGCCCAAGTACTAACTCCATTTTGAAAAGATAAATCTGGGCTTCCCTTGGGGGCTCAGTAGTAAAGAATCTGCCTGCCAATGCAAGAGACAGGTTTGATCCCTGGTCCAGGAAGATTCCACATGCCGCAGAGCAACTAAGCCTGTGCAGACTCTATTGAGTCTGTGCTCTGAAGTGTGAGAGCCACAGCTACTGAGCCCATGTGCCACTACTGAAGCCCACGTGTCCTAGAGCCCGTGCTCCCCAGCAAGTGCAGCCACTGCAAGGAAAACCCCGGGCACTGCACCTAGGTAGCAGCCCTCCCACTGGCTGCAACTAGACAAAAACCCATGTAGCAACAAAGACCCAGCACAGCCAAAAATAAATAAAAAATTTAAAAATAAGTATTAGGTTTTATCTTCAACTGATGGGCACATAAAGAAATTAATCAAGCAAGAAAAGTTAAAGCAGTACTATTTTACTGAAAGGCCAATTTCTTTGGATGTTAAAAAAAAATGGAGGGGAGAAGAATAGGGCAGAATCTCTTAAAAGAGAATCTATGGTAATCATTCAATTAATTAAGAGAAAGATCAGTCTGATCAAATTATAAGTAATAAATATTCCCAAAATAAACATTTCCCTAATAAAGGGCTCACAAACAAGTCAAATGTAACTTGAGGGTATATACTCATTTGGTGGTACTTCTTTTCCATATTTCCCCCAATACAGCAAAGTCTCAGTTAATGGACTCTAAAAGCTCACATTCAAGCTGGATGACATTTAGCTCAAAAGTCTTCTATGAAACATGGGGGTAGATGGTTCAGATCCTTTACTAGTTATGGCTCACCTCTCTTAAAGCATAAATGTGATATACCATAAGATACTTATGTTGGTTAGCACTTTGAAAGGTAACTCATCTGTGTATTTAATTTTAAGATACATCATGACATACAACCTCACATACTTTTATTCAGAAGTAACGATAGTTCCTTATGAGTTCGTTTTTAGTGGAACATGAGGCTTGTTTGAATTAAAAGATCACTTTCAATTCTAAGATACAATAACAGTAATCAGAAAACTACATTTTTTTACTTAATGCAGTAAATATACTCTATGTTTAGAGGATAAACTAAACATTTCTAGTAAATGAAAGCTCCTTAAAGACTAGAATCACTCATTTTTAATATATCTAGAGTATTTTTAAGCATCTAGAAAAATTACAGGGACTTCTCTGTGGTCCAGAGGCTAAGACTCCACGCTCCCAATCAAAGGGGCCCAGGTTCTATCATCCCTGATCAGGGAACTAGATCCCACATGCTGGAACTAAGATCAGGCACAGCCAAACAAATAAACATTAAAAATAAAAAAATTCAAAAAAGGAAAAAACTGAAAAAAAAAAAAAAATTTAAAAAAATGTCACAGAAGGTCAGAATAACTGAACTTTAAGTCTGTCAACTGGTCTATGATTTACAAAAAAGAAACTGGTAATCTGTTTCAGTTTGTATCAAGTGAGGAATGATATGGAAACATGAATATTCTTTTTTTTTTGGAAACATATTCTGCTAAAAAAGAAAAAAAATCAGTTCCAGTTAAGTATTATCAAAAGTCCTGCCTATAAACATCTAAAACCAAACTCTCTTTCACATATTCTTTGCTCACAGAAACCCTGATATGCTTCTCGTATTTTCAGATCTTCTGTATGTCAGTTGCACTGCTATGTAAAATTTTCTGGAAAGTGATCTGAATATACACACAAGTCCAGTGATCCCCAAACTGAGTGCCAAGATGGATCACAGCTCTATGGGAGAATTTACAGAGCTGCCACAGGAGACTTCAAATTTAAAAGGAATTCAGCGATACTCAGCTTCAGTCAAGATACCAAGCAGCTCAGTTTCAACAGTAGATTGCACTATATCCCTCTTCTCCATTAAGTTTCATCTTTGCAAAGCTGAATTTCTGGAGGCTGTTCTAATTTAAAACTAACAAAATAACACAACAAACAAACCAAAAACAAACAAACAAAAATCAATGAGGAATTGAGATGGAAGTATCCAATCTGATTTCAAGGTGTAACAAGTTACAGAGTGCCCAAAAGGCAAACACCTTCCATTAATAACCACAGTTATACGAGAAACCACATTTTTCTTGCAATTTATGTGTATTACTTTTCCAAAGAGTTAAGAGGTTGTTAGGACAAAACATTTAAGTTGTTTGGATCCAACTACCTAATAAACAGAACTGCTAGGTTATGCCATTTGGCAGCTAGCAGCACCATTAAAAAACTAACCAACCCTAAAACTCAAAACAGTTAACAACAAAAACAGAAACACTACCAAGACACCAAGGGATGAGTGAACCAATCAAGTCTGTGAACCTCTGTGCTAGATCCCTTCTTTGGTAATTACCACTCTAAAATATAAACGTGAATGTGTTCCTAAATACACTATTCCCGCCTCAACGTAGTGCCTTTCTTCCAAGCAACTCTATGACTCTCTCACATCCCCACTTTCGTGCACACATCCGTTTAACATTGTCAAACCAGGTAAAATTTTTAATTTTTCTTCATACAAAAAAACCTGAAGTAAGGTCAATCTCTCATTGCTTCCATTACAGACTTCAGAGCCTCATATCTCAGGAAGTGGCAAGGTTTTAATAGAAGCAGTTATATTAGATAATAAAACTGAGCTACAGACATGATTACTTATTGGAAATAAAAGGACCACTTGGAAAATTATTCTCCCTTTTCATAAAGTGGCGGGGGGGGGGGGGACACACTTTGTCAGAGATTCTAGGTTCGAATCCTAGTTGAAGAACTAAACCTTGTAGTAATACTAGAAATTTAAAAAACACCTCTGTGACTTACATCCTTTCAGTACACAAAGATAATTAAGCATACTGAGGTGTAAGGAGCCCTGACATAACACTTTCTGGCAATAAACTATGGGTACATGAGAAGATCAACTATTACACAGAAAATTCACAACAACACGTTTTATTTGGCTCTGGAATACAACACAGGTGAAGTAGCATCTTCCTGGAAAACCAAAAGTTCAAAGGTGTTCTGGGGAAGTCCACTTCAATGTAAAATCTATCACTGCCAATCTACACAGCAAATAAAAACACTTTAAAATACACTAGATACAGCAATTTTCAATGTA